AGCCGCTCCGCCTCCCCGGCGGGCTGGGCGGCGCGGGCGGGCACGGGGACGGGTTTCTCGGTCCTTCTCGGTGCCTGTGTGCCCCCCAGCAGGTCGGTGTGGGGCAGCTGGCAGTGATTGCAGGGAGGGAATGGGGAGAGGCAGCGCCGTGGTGTGTCCCGGGGAGGATGCTCCGAGCGCGGGGGGTCCCGGCGTGGTCCTCTCCCCTCCGCATCCCTCGAGGGCTGAAAGCTTTGTGCCAAAACGGGAAGAGAAGTGTTAGCAAAGCCTTCTCCGCTCAGGGATGGGGTGCTGGGTGTCCCCCGAGCGCTGGAGGTGCCTTGGAGGGAGGTTTGGAGCAGGAGTGAGCGTGGGGATTTCTCTCCGCAGCGCACGTGGTTCTCCCTCCTTGGAGGCAAAAGGTAACTTAAGTTAAAGGAGGTTTGGGCAAGGGGAAAGGTGAATAAATACTGTCGTGGGGTGTCACGGTGGTGCTGGATGGGACTGGGGTGTTTGGTGGTCTTGGGGTGGGGTAAGAGTGTTGTCAGCTGTGTCTGTGCTCGGAGGACTCATAGGATCACAGGATGGTTTGGGTTGGAAATCCTTGCAATGTTCTCACAAAGGGCAGCACAGGGACAGGCAGTGATCTCTGTGTGAGCAGTGACAGGAGCCAAGGGAACAACAGCTGGAGCTGTGTCTATGTTCTCACGCAGCACAGGGACAGGCAGTGATCTCTGTGTGAGCAGTGACAGGAGCCAAGGGAACAACAGCTGGAGCTGTGTCTGGGGAGGGTTAGGTTGGATATCAGGACAAGATTCTTCCCCCAGAGGTGTTTGGGCACTGAACAGCTCCCCAGGGCAGTGGTCACAGCCCCAAGGCTGACAGAGCTCCAGGAGGTTTGGCCAATGCTCTCAGGCCCAAGGTGCATTGTTGGGGTGTCCTGTGTCCAGGAGTTGGACTGATGATCCTTGTGGGTCCCTTGCAGCTCATGTATTCTGATATATATTCAGGGTATTCTATGAGTCTATGAAAAATCATCCCATCCCACCCTGCCATGGGCAGTGACACCTCCCACCAGCCCAGGCTGCTCCAAGCCCCATCCAGCCTGGCCTGGAACACTCCCAGGGATGGAGCAGCCACAGCTGCTCTGGGCAACCTGTGCCAGTGCCTCAGCACCTCACAGGGAGGATTTTGCAAGGGACTTTAAATATTTGTGAACACCTATTGCTTTTTTACTTCAGGTTGTCCAAATAAGGCAGAACCTGTTGCTTACTATGAAGAAAAGCAGAGGTCGAACAGGCCGAAAGAGGAGAAGAAAGCACTTGCAGAGTTTTATGGATGGAGGTAATATCTCTGGAAGTTAAAGAGTTAAATAACCAATTGCTTGTCAAGGTGTTATTTATGCTTTATATTCATCAAACCCCTTTGTGCTTTGAAAATGTGATTCCTAAATGTTCCCTTGTTTTTATATGGAAGCAGTCTGAAATTAGTTTGCAACCCCAAGCAGAACGTGGTGAATATTCTGAGCTCTCTTTTTCTGGATAATGGCAAGTTGTATATTATTTTTAAACTCCTTGAATATGCTGAATAACTCACACAGTTCTCAGTGCCCAGAGGCCCAGAACTGAGCAACCTGCTCTGGTGGGAGGTGTCCCTGCCCAGGGCAAGAGTTGGGGCTGGATCATCTCTAAGTTCCATTCCAACCCTTAAAATTCTGATTCTATGATGATTTAGTAAGTTACTTTGTAGAGAGCCTTTCTTGCTATTCTGTTGTGCTCTAAAATTTCCTTTGTCTTCCAACAGAGGTTTTTTTAATAGCATTAATCTCCTCTGTTTTATCTTTAGCCAACTGCAGTCACAGACTGGAATACATTAAACTTAAGAAGTGGCTCAAAGACAGAGGATTTGGAGACAGCAGTTTAAGGCCTGCAGAGTTCTGGGGTAATGTTTGGTGGTACAAACTTCTGATTCTTTCATTGTGAGTCATGCACCTGCCTGGCAGCAGGAAAAGAAGGCAGTTGCTGTTAGTCTTCTAAGGATTTTTGGCACAGGAGTGTCAATTTGGCATTAAAAAAGTAGATAGGGAGGCCTGAAATAAACTATTTCTTGTATAAAGATGATCTCGTGTGAACCTCCTGTATGAGAATACTCTGTTAGGCTGCAAAACTCTGCTGAATTCCTTGTGGAAGTCAAAATGTAAGTGTTAGCAGCACAGTTTTAAAGAAGAAATTCATTCCCAGCATTGGAACCTGGTTTTGTTATCCTTTCTCCACCTGTTTTCCCCACACAAGCTCAGCAAATCTAGTGATACAGATAAATAAATTATTTCAGAGCTGGGATTCACTTAGTGATGTTTCCAGCAAAGGTGTCTGCTTGTATTTTTTCTCTTTAAGTAGGTTTATGTTTCAAAACCTTTTGTAATATTAAAGACAGAGTAGAAAGAGGAGAATGAAATAAGGAAAAGTGGAATAATTGCTAGAACTGGACAACAAGTGTGGCAGGAGATGCAGGGAAAGGACTGTTACAGTGTCCTGAAGAGCAGAACGAGAATTGGAGAACAAAGAAATGAGATATGTATTTGGAATGATCCATAATTGGCTTTTATGACTGCTATTTTAGGGCTTTTCTTTGAAGACCTGATCATAATTTCTTGTATTTTCACCACTCTTTGTTCCTGCTCCAGAGACAGGAAGAGGATTGATGACAACAAAAGCTCTTCAGGTTAGTCATGTTGGTTCTAATGGAAAAGCTCCTCAGATTCTTTCAAGGTGTAATGAATTCTGCAGTGAGCAAAGCTCAGAATTCCAGACAAGGTCTTCACACTCCCTGTTGTGAGTGTCATTTCTGCCCTCTGATCTTCGCTTTGAAGGCATCTTCTTTGCTGGTAGACTAATAGAAATATAATTTCTCAGACATTTCCAGCAGAAAAGGGGAATAATAGAAGAAATACCTTTGCCCTTGTGATATTGACATAGAAAAACTCAACTCTGAATGAAAAAGCTTCTCAGGAATGGAACAGAAAATGAAAAGAAGTTTCCTGAGTGGTATGAGGATAGTAAATCAAATAATGGTGAATCAGACCCAGAACCTTTGGCTAACTAGAGAGTAAAGGAAGAAGTTACGTGCAGAGAAGAGTGTGGGTCTCATGCTGGCTCAGGGTTGGAGGCAGAGGCTCAGGTTATCCACAGGGATCTGAGCCATGCACTAAACTCAGCTGGGCTGGAGAAAGACAAGGAAAATCAGGAGATGAATGGGAAGAGAATTGACTTGATTCATCTCCTCTCCCTCCAGGCATGGACACATGTGGCTCAGGCCAGGCACGAAGGCTAATTTACACAGAGCAGCTTGGCAAGCAAGGTCAGGATAGACATGACCTAAAACATCCCATAGTGCTGATGGAAGTTCAGCTGTTTGTGAGAGCTAGGCTAAAGGACATCTCAGTGAGTAGCCAGGCACAGACCTTCTGAGAACAGCCAACTTTGTGCTACTGTCTGCAATTGTCCTCCTTCCCTGGGCTGTCACTGGCTTAAAGCCATTCCAGTTCCCATAGTGTGTTAGATGAACCATTTGCACTTGTCTTTTGCTATTTTTTGTGTGTGTCTTTCTTTATCTTCCCTCCAAGACAGGAGATCTGATTATTTCATTGCCTGAGAAATGCTTACTCACCACGGGCACCGTCCTGAGCAGCTGCTTGGGGGAGTACGTTGTGAAGTAAGTGAAAAGTGACACTTGATGGGCACATTGGCTTTTAGCTCAGAATCCCAGAATCATTGAGGTTTGAAAAGACCTCTGAGATCCTGGAGTCCAACCTGTGATCCATCACCACCTTGTCAACTAGACCAGAGCACTGACTGTTATGTCCAGTGGTTTCTTGGACACCTCCAGGGGTGGTGACTCCACCATCTCCCTGAGCAGCACATTCCAGTGCCTGACAGCCCTTTCCATGGGGAAATTCCTCCTGATGGCCAACCTGACCCTCCCCTGGTACAGCTTGAGGTATTTCCTCTGGTCTTGTCCCTTGTTCCCTGGGAGCTGTATATCCTGAATGCTACGAGTATTTCTCGTGGCCTTTCATGTATGTGGAGTGCTCAGATGGGAAAGGTTTGGACTCAGAGCATCTCCTCTTAGCTAGGCAGAGTTGGAGAGAGAGCACAGGCTGGAACTTGACCTCCCTCAGAGCCAAAGTGTCTGGACCTAAGTGCCAATTGTGAATGATTTCTTGGGAATTCATGAATAAGCTTCAACAGGAGAAGGAAGATAAAATGGGGATGCAAAGCTGTTCCATGGACATGGCCTTGTAGGCAGTTCGGAACCAAGACCTATGCTGGACATTGAGTACTTGTTGTGTATCCTAAAAAAACCACCCCTAAAGAAAACCCAACCCAAGGGGTGACCCTGAAGTTGTTACTGCCAACCAATTTTTATTGCCCCTTTGAAATCATCCAAAGGACTTGGAGATGAACTACAAAGAGGGTTAAAACAGAAGCTGTTTATAATATTTAAAAGGGAGATAAAACTCTGGTGCAGCCATTTCCCATGGTGTTGTTCTCTCCTAGGTGGAAGCCTCCTGTGTCTCCTTTGATGGCACTGTGCACATTTTTGATAGCAGAGAAGCATTTTGGGGAGAAATCCCCGTGGAAACCCTACCTGGATGTTTTACCCAAGACTTACACCTGCCCTGTGTGTTTGGAGCGTGATGTGGTAAACCTCCTGCCAGAACCTCTCAGAAAGAAAGCTCAGGAGCAGAGAACAACAGTGCAAGAGTTGTTTGAGTCTTCCAAAGCCTTTTTCTCTTCCCTGCAGCCTTTGTTTGCTGAGGACACAGGGACTGTTTTTACCTACAGTGCCTTAGAGTGGGCTTGGTGCACTGTGAACACCAGGACAATCTACATGAAGCACTCACAGAGGGAATGTTTTTCCCTTGAGCCAGATGTTTATGCTCTGGCACCATATTTGGATCTGCTAAACCACAGTCCAAATGTTCAGGTAAGAAACTAATAGTAGGTCACTTGATTTCTTCAGAAGGAAATGCATTTATGGGATGGATGAGGAGTGTGTGGAGGTCAGGGAGGGATCTCAGTGGGAAAAATGGCTATTAAGGATATGAGCAGGATGAGAACTCACAGTTCCTCTATACACTGGAGTTTGTTATTCAGCCCAAGGCAGCTGAATAAAGAGGATGATGATAAAGGTCTGTAGTGATAGGACAAGGAGAATGGCTTCAAACTGAAAAAAACCCCAGGTTTAGATTGGATATTAGGAGAAGAGAAGCTCCAGGGTGACCTTAGAGGTCCTTCCAGTACCTAAAGGGGCTCCCAGAGAGCTGGAGAGGGACTTGGGACAAGGCATGGAGTGACAGGACAGTGAAGAATGGCCTTAAACTGAAAAAGAGTAGGGTTAGGTTAGGTATATGGAAGGAATTGTTCCCTGTGAGGTGCTGAGGCACTGGCACAGGTTGCCCAGAGCAGCTGTGGCTGCTCCATCCCTGGGAGTGTTCCAGGCCAGATTGGATGGGGCTTGGATCAGCCTGGGCTGGTGGGAGGTGTCCCTACCCAGGGCAGGGGGTGGAACTGGATGATCTTTTTGGTTCCTTCCAACCCAAACCATTTGGTGATTCTATGATTCTGTGATTCAAATGTTTCAGTTGATGCAGCAAAGCAAAGCCCCAGGGAGAGCCCACAGGGACTGGGAGAGATTTGCATCCAGGGTAGCTGTTGGGAAGAGGCAGTTGCAAACACAACCCCACTCTGCTTTCCTAAAGACTCAGCTCCTGAGGCAAGTCTCAAGTTACACAGTCCCTGTGCTTGCTCACCTCAGGCTGAAGCTTTTGAGCAGCCTTAGAATCACAGAATCACAGAACCATCGAGGCTGGAGGAGACCTCTAGGATATTTGAGTCCAATCACCTGTCACTGCTCTAACCCCCAAACCCTAAACCATATCCTCCAGTGACACATCCAGACCCCTCTGAAACACCTCCAGGGATGGTGACTCCACCACCTCCCTGGGCAATATCTCAGTGCTGAACACCCTCATAGGGAAAACATCTCTCCTAACACCTATTCTGACTCTCCCTGTCTCAGTCTATGACCTTAGGAGGGTGTGCAGAGCAGTTCCACCTTATGTCAGGGCCTGTGGGACAGCACAGAAGTGACCAAGGCTGCATGAAACCATCTTTATTTGCAGATTTGAGGCCTCTCTAATAAGTCTACACAGTGTGTGGCACATGCTGCAGACCAGGGCTTAGCTGTTTACTCTTCATACTCATGAGCTGCCTTTTCAGGCCTCTGAAACACTTTTCCTCCAGTGTTAGAGAGGATTTTGGATCTTAATATTCAAGTTTTGATTAATTTTCCACCTTCTTTTCCTGCCCAAGAGTAAAACCTTTTCTTTTTAACCCCCTGAAGGTCAAGGCTGCATTTAATGAGCAAACAAGGAGCTATGAAATTTGGACTAATTCCCAGTGCAAGAAGTATGAAGAAGTATTTATCTGCTATGGACCTCATGATAACCAGAGACTACTGCTGGAATATGGATTTGTGGCCATGGATAACCCCCACAGCAGTGTTTATGTCTCATCAGGTTGGAGTTATAGATGAGTAAGACACTATAATAGAGAATTGAGCCTGTTGATGCTCAAGAAGTGGAGTAAGGTTTGATTCCTCTCTGCATAGAATTTAAAGATTGGAGTTTTAAGATTGCAAATGTTCTTCGGTAACATTTTCTCTGGTAAAATTGGGATTCTTTGCAAGCACCTACATAGAGATTCCAAGTGGATTGAGAACCAGTCTGAGAGTGGTTCATAACTGGAATTTGAGTTTATAAATTTCTGTTAGAAGGACACAAACAGTGACTTAGGCACTAAAAGTGACAAAACTGATAGTTTTGAGAAGTAGAAACACTTCTGATCCTGTGGAAGTTCACCAGATTGAACAGGTTGTGATCTTTATCCTGTAGCTCCTTGAAAAACAGGGTTAAAATGTTATTTCAGGATTGTGGTTTCATCTACACAGAGCTTTTTTAAAGCTCTAAAATCTGGTTTTATGCAGATACTCTCCTCAAATATTTGCCACCACTGGACAAGCAGAGAAAGGCCAAACTTGCTATCCTGAAGGATCATGATTTCCTTGAGTAAGTATCTGAGGTTCTTTGGTTCCTGCTAAGCTTTCACTTCAGGATTTCTGGGAGTTAAATTTTACTTCTTGTATCAAAATCCAGAAAAATATTATAAGGACTTGGGTGTTTTTTAACAAACTAATGTGCTTGTGAGAGGATGTAGAAGTTGTAAACACCTCAGGGGAGGTTTGAAGGCACAGCCTTGTCTCTGGACGGCAGCAGAGAGAGGAGTCAAGGAGATCTCTGATTGCAAAGAGCAGATCTTTCCCTGTTGACATGTGTCAAGAGGAAAACTGACACCCTGGAAAAACTCAGTTCTACTTTCTTATCACTTTTGGCTTTATAGAAACCTGACCTTTGGCTGGGATGGACCCTCTTGGAGACTCCTCACAGCCCTCAAGCTCTTAAGTCTTGGAGCAGATGAATTGTAAGTTTTAGCAACTCTGAACATTTAGACAATATCAATGTGCCATTTTCTTTTCTGTCACAGAATCCTCAAGGTTGGAAGAGACCTTCAAGCTCATCCAGTCCCACCAGCACTACCAGAATCACCCCCAAACTATGTCCCCAAGTGAGAGCAATGCGGTCCCTCCTGAGCTTTCTCTTCTCCAGTCTAAACACCCCCAGCTCCTTCAGCTCCTCACAGGACATGGTTTCTAGTCCCTTCACATGTTTTCTAGACTCCTTACGTGTTTTCTAGACCCTTCACTCTTTGCTGTGTGTGAGGACAATTGTTTTGCACCTCCTTTGTGTGTCTCATTGCCTCCAGGTGCGAATTGAAAAGAAGAAAGGCAGAAAACACCACAGAACGTCAACTCATTGCCTAGTGCTGCTTTGGTCTTTTGCTTTCTTGTATTAATAGCTTCACCCTAGTCTCTTTCCTTTCTATTTCCACCACCAGATATTCCTTTAAAGCTCAGACTCCAGGTTTTTCCTGGTCATTTGATGAGATTTTAGGTGCTTTTAACCTGCCTTGGAGGCCTTTGAGGCATGTGGTTCACAGGCTGCTGCTCAAATTCATCTACAGTGTCTGTCAGTGCAGGTTTGATCATTTACTCCAACTGCAAATCTGCTTTGAGCAGCAACAATGGCAAATATTTACCTGCACTTTGCTTGGAATGGTAAATAAACACATAAAATTCCATTATTCAGTGCTGTTTGTGCTTTGAAGATTCATTGCTTAGTGGAGTAAGTTGATCTAAGAACTAAAAATAGATCCTCTGGTAGTAGTTCCAAGCCCAAGTGAGGTGAAGTTGAGCAGAACCACATGTTTCTCATCCATGATTACACCAAATAATGGTGTGTTCTTCCAACATTTTGCTTTCAGTGCTTGCTGGAGGAGGACACTGCTTGGTGAGGTCATCTCAGCCAGAAATGAACAGCAGACATGGAATATAGTAGGGAAAATATGTCATTTTCTACTAGAGGAGACCCAACATGTCCTTCTCCAGGTAATGTGAAGGACAAGGTAGCCCAGATTCCTCTCCTAGCAGAACATACAGTGGTGTCATTTCTGGAGTGACATCTGTGATGATTTTTCCTTTTCTCCCTTTTTTCCCTTTCCCTCTTTTTTCCTCCTTTCCCCCATTTTTCCCTTTTCCCCTGTTTTTCCCTTTTCACACCCCTTTTATCCCCCTTTTCCCCATTTCCCCTATTTTTTCCCTTTTCACCCCCCTTTTTCCCCATTTCCCCTATTTTTCCCTTTTCACCCCCCTTTTCCCCCTCTTTCCCCCTTTTCTCCCCTTTCCCCCCTTTTTTCCATTTCCCCCCCATTGAGAAGTTTAAAATATACTATTTTGACCTAGTGCCTGAAATCTCTACCACAACTTTCCCCAAATTTTGACTCATTTCATCCCATTTCTATCAACTTCAGATTTCCCAGTTGAAAAGGACCAAAGAGAGCCTCAAACCCCACTTGGCTTTGGTGGAAAAGCTCCACTTGGAAGACCTGAAGATACTTCAAAAATCAGCTGAGATTCTCTGCAACTTAAATATGGCAACAAGTTGACCCAAGTGGAAGTGTGATCAGAGGTGATTTGCCATGGATGTGCCTTGCTCACCTGTTTTGATGGAGCTGAGCAGCAAAGAAGAAGATAGAAAGTCATCAGAATCATTTTGGTCTTTGCTGGGTTTCACCAGGAGCACAAAAAGGTTCTACTGACGTGAAGATCTTGAGCTTCTTGCATGGTTTGGAGGATCTTTCAAAGGGCATTTCAGGGCAGGACCCTTAATTAAGCTGCAGAAACTTCATTTATAACTGTGATTGTGCTGTGATTATTCTCCATTTTGTGAGGAATCACAGTTCATAGGACATTTTTTCAGAGTGGTGGTTTAAAAAATATTTATTTTTGTCAATGTGTTGCTTCATTTTCTACAACTCTTCTCGCTTTTGGAACTAAATGAAGCTGTACAGCAGGAAAGGTGTTGGGTAATAATAGAATTTCAGGAACAAATGCAGCAGGTGAGAACTGTGAGAACTCTTCAAGCTCAAATGCACTTTTAGGCTTTTATTGGTAGCTTGTGAACAAGAATGTTATTCATAGAGTTATAGAATCATAGAGTGGTTTGAGGTGAAGAGATGTTAAAGTTCATCTAGTTCCACCCCCTGCCCTGGGCAGGGACACCTCCCACCAGAGCAGGTTGCTCAAGGCTCATCCAACCTGGCTGTGAACACTGCCAGGGCTGGGGCAGCCACCACTTCCCTGTGGGGCTGAGCCCCTGACCCTGTGACTGACCTCTTACTTCCTTTCAATAAAACCTTTTTCATTCTCTCAGCCCAGATGTGTTTCTAATTTTACCATTCCGTAAGGAGCTGGTGCCAGAGTTAACGAAGATAAGGATGTTTGCTTGGTTTATTCCCCCCTTTTTTTTTTCCTCTGGAAAAAAAAGGAGCAGCTCCTTTTAGGAGCAGCTCCTTTACAACGTGACTTGCAAGGTGACTATGAGTGTAACAGAAATTTATATCCTTCAGGATTGTACTAGAGGCTACACATTTATTCCAGGTGGTTTGAATATTAGCTCTGCTCCTGGAAGTCCCTCACACCCTCCAGGGAGAGCAGGAAAGGGATCTGGAAGTGCAGGAAAGCAGGCAGAGCAGAGCACTGAGCTCTCAGCTTCACCTCAAGCCTTGTAGCAAGAGCAGAGCCACTTGTGTTTGATATCTAAGGCAAAATCCTGCCTGGATCAACTCTGGAACTGGAATCAGTGCTGTTGTAACACACATCAATAGCAGTGGAATTTGAAGAGGTAGAAACCAGAGTCTCACAGGTTGTGATTCGGCATTTATGGCAGTAAGAAAAAGCTTAAATTCCTTTTTGACTCAAACCTGAATTATGTGCAAGACAGATCCTAAGCTGGGCTGAGGTGCCTGAGGAAGGAGCTGCTCTGGGTGTGTCTTCCAGCTGTCTTGGACACACTCAATCAAGTTCTCAAAGAGGGAAAAATGCTTCCTCTCAGCCTCTGCTTTAGCTCTCTGAGCTGCAAACATCATCACTTCAGTGATGTGCTGGTTAAGATTTGGCTCTGGCTCTCTCTCGGGCTAAGGAGGGATTTAGCAGTGGAAAAACATACTTATTTCTCTCTTTGTATAAAATCCCTTTCAGATTGGATCTGTAAATCTCAGCACAGTAGAAATAAATCTCAGCTTATGCTCAGTAGCACTACAGACCTGGTCCAGATCATGGCAGGGACTTGGATTCTCTCCCAGCTACTCAAATAGGGCATTGAGGGGCTGGAGGTGTCCAGAGAAGGGAATGGAGCTGGTGAAGGGGCTAGAAAACATGTCCTGTGAGGAGCTGAGGGAGGTGAGGGTGTTTATTCTGGAGAAGACTCATTGCTCTCTCCGACTCTGACAGGAGGTCATGGTAAGGTGTGGGTTGGTCTCTTTGCCATGTCCCAAGGGGAAGGACAAGAGGAAGCAGCCTGAAGTTGCACCAGGGGAGGTTCAAATTAGATATTAGAAACAATTTTTTCCCTGTTAGTGTTCAAACCTTGGAATGAGTTGCCCAGGGAGGTG